CCCCCCGTCTGTGTTTTGTATTAGATGTCCAAAATCTACTTCTCCAGTGTGTATCTGGTACATTATACTGCTTCTGTTGATTCCTCGCCCAGGATGATATAAGTGTAATAGTTCACTAAACTGAAGTTAATGCTGTCAGCTCCCTGTTTTTTTGTGGGATTTCTATATTCTCACCTCTGTACAGCAAGTCCCAAGGGACACCATTAATACTCAGAGGACTACTAAAAACTCTGATCACATCCTTGTAAGCTGTTTCATATGAGGCACCTCAGCCCATCTATTAACTTTATGGTATATTATCACTCTGTGTCTTCTGTTAGGTCAAGCTTCTAGTCGTATACTTCTTTTACCATTCCTCTACAGCTGAGCTTTATTTCTTTGGAAATAGAGACTAAGACTGAAGATAATACAGTTTACAGTGACCTACATGTGTAAACAAATTTGTTCACATCGATTGAGGGTGTTACCTGTGTGGCTGTTCTGCCACAACACAGCAAGTCTGTCAGGTATTTTGTTCTTTTCTAGCTGCGGTATCAAGATCTTATTTGTATACAAGCATTTCTCTTGTTGATCTTGCTGATGGTGCCAGACGTGGCTGCGGGGATTTGTGAAAAGCTTACCTAACCCTTAACCATCATTGCTACATGCCTATGCCCAACCATTCCCATTCTAATCTTCTCTCTAAAACCTGGACCTAAAGCATATTAAATGTGAACTTTTAAGAAGTGTGTCCCCACAATGTGGCTGTGTGAATAGACATGTTTTTACAAACATGCATGCATTTTTACTTACATACTTGTGAGGACTCTCATTGACATAGTATACATAGACAATCCTAACCATTGCCCTGAACTGGATCCTTATTCAAACCTTATCTCTAAAACCAAGTTTTAAAGCTAAAATCAACAGTTAGCCTTATAGGGACCAGGACTGGGTTGCACCAACTATTAGTAAAATTAATTATTAAGTATGAGTGTGAATTTATTAATAGTTTCTTCCTAACAAGTTACAAACAAGTGATACTGAAATGATTTGAACCACTAAAAATTCTGAAATGTCATAGTTAAGATGTTAATATTGTGAAAAATTCGTGCTGGCAAAATAAATCATTCTACACAGAAAGTCACTGTAGCAGTAGTAGCAGTATCATCCAAATGTAACAGGGCCAAGAGCTACATTAAATTTACAATCTTTTGCAAGTGAATGCATTACTTTGTTTAATTTAGGCTATATAGGCATATAGGCATATAGGCATACATGCAGAAATACGTGAATTTGAGAACAGGCAATATTAATTTCAGTGGGAGAGAACAACTTAACCAACCTTAATTGGTCAATTGTCTTATGTTATTGGCATTAGATTTTGTAATTTTCTTATTTTGGTCAAATCTAATTCAAAGTAGTGAACCATCTTCTGATGCTAAGCTAGGGCAGATAATCAGTGATGTTTTCTGGGGTCTTCAGGTGTTTCGGGTTCTTTTGAACATCATACACACTCGCTTGGGGCGACCCAGCTTGGGTTAATCAGACCTTAGCTTCTGCCCAAGCAAATCTCTATGTAGTAAACACTTAAGTTATCACTAGGATACGTTTGAACTTACAGACAGCTGGTGCAACTGGACCCAGCTTCTTGTCCCCAGATAGGAGGTCAGTCCCCATAATGTACTGTGGAAAATGATGTCCCCACAACGTGATGAATACAAGTACCATACAAGTACACAAAACCACAGGTGCAAGCATAATACCCTACAGGTTACCAGCAGAAATGCATACTCACAGAGAGGGACACATACAAACAAGTCATGAGAATGCATAATCCCACACAAAAACTAGAAGACACAACCAGGCACAAAAATACAAATAGGTGCACCCACACACACTCACATTGTTATTCATAATTATTCATTTTAGTTTTTAACACATTAGCACAAGGACCTGAGATACAAACAAGGGAGCGATGAAGCACCTGGCACTTTGGACCAACCTCACTCACTGTATCTTTAATGCACTTTCTATCTCTCTATTTTTTACTGTGCTCCTGCTCTTCTCTTTCGCTCTCTCCGCTGCATAAATAATAATAGCCAGAACCAACAGTTCATTATGGAACAACATGATAATTTGCTTGTCTGTGCTCATTTGTCCTCCAGTTCATCCCTCTTACATGTTTCTATTAACTGAAGTAAATGCGTTCTGCCACTCTTTAAACACAAAAAAATACATTTATATGTGCATGCACACACGCACAACCTAGACATGGGCTGAATCCCTGGATTTCCAGCCCAGCAGAAGGCAGGGATAGAGCATGAGTTGGTATTTTGTGGTAACCATGAATGGACCTTGGGGTTTTTATCAAAATGTTATGAGACTCAATGACAACAGTAACATTAAATCCAACTTTTAAAATAATGAAAGCAAAATCGCATATTACAAACAGCAAAAAAATGTGTATTGGCTGCCTTGCCAAAAATGTTGCAGTTGAATAAAGGTAAACAGGACATACACAGAGATGTAATTTTGAAATAATGGAGTCCCATAATTAATTATAGTCTCTTTGTGTCTATCTTTGACATTTCCATTAAATCTATAATCTGAGGTGCACTGCTCAGAGGTCTTGGTAGTTTTGGGTGCACTATTTGGTGGAATCAATAATTTAATGTGATTACTTCAAAAATTAACACTTGTGAATTGACTTGCACTTTTACAGTCATTGCTCCCTAAATGCCCCGTGCGATGAATATTCTGATCTGTTACCTTTCTCTTGTCAATATATATTTTTTTTATGTTTTTTTTATTTTTTTATTTAACACCCATGCATTGGCTTGAATAACTTTTGCAGTCATTGCTCCCAAATGCTCGGTGGGATTAATAATCTGATGTGCTACCTCCACCCTGTCAATATTTTCTTTTAAATTAACACTCTTGTATTGACTTGAAGAACTTTTGCAGTCATTGCTCCCAAAATGCTCTGTGGGATCAATAATCTGATCTGCTACCTTCCTCCTGTCAATAATTTGACACAAATTATCCCAAACCAACCAATAGCTGCTTTACATAATCCATAACTCGAAGAGGAGCTTTGATTTTCTGTATATTTCATTGTCTGTTCAGTCACAGTGGCTGTGATGGCTCATTGTTAAGCCTTTCTGTTTATTACAAACAAATCTCTGCTTCTGCTGCAAAGGTAAAATTCATCACTATCTGAGCACCAGAGGACCTTTTCATACAAAGTCAAGCACTGATGAGATGAGAATAGAAATTCTAAAAACTATTTTATCCTAGGAATAGGCTGAATCACTATTACAATGGTTTTAGAATGTAGCAAAACACATTCATTCAAAAAAATGCTAAAAAGTTACTCCACTGAACTCCAACTCTGAAATGTCAGTGGGAAAAGTATTGGGTTTTGCAGCCAAGAAATCCAACAGAAAGTTTGAAAACAGCCAGTCCTCACCTGTAATAATTACTGTGGGACAGGCAGCCATTTAATAAACAGCGAAGTGTCAAGGGCGTGTGTTCATCCAAGCGACTCCTGGCAGTAGTGAATTCATTACTACTTTTAAGTGATTTCCGATACTATTTTCACTCTGCTGGCCCATTCTGAGAGTCCAAAACAGCTGTAGTAAATTGTAGTAAACAACTGAAGTACAAAATTGACAAAATAGCTTATGAACTCCAGCTGTAGAAATAGAAAATCTCTAAAGGGATGTTAAATAATGGTCTCAACTGAATCGGAAGAAATACCTTTTGATTAATAGTGTAATTGAATTGATTTAATAACATATGCTAATACAATTGACTTCAAAAAGTTTGTTCTTTACACCGGTCTATATGTCCATTATTCAAATCAACCAGACTTAGCCAAGGTCTGACTCATATCATAGCTTTTGTATTTTAAATACTCAATAAATATGAAAACCTGAGTTCAATGAGGACTCAACATGGACGTGGGTAAACACAGACAGTTCAAAACCCAAGGTCACACCTTCTGGCTGACTTATTCTTAAATGTGGAGCAATGGTAGAGATTTTGACAAATTAGCATACTCCAAAATGGTGTATTATGGGGATTAACTTTGCTCATTTAACACCAATTTAAAAATCCTGCCAACACAGCAGCTTTAATAATGTGATATAATGAGAATATAAGCTGCTCAATTTAATATATGTCTTAGATCATTTCTGATCTCTGCTGATTATGCGTGTAATCATTGATCATTGTAACCATTATCATGCTCTCTCATCAATCTTCTTATTGC